TAATTTTTAAATTTATTCATAAAATTATAATCATAATGTATAGAGATCATCTTTTCAAATTTCTGAAGTGAAGACAATATTTCAAAGCAAATATTCATAAAACATTTAAATCATTCAATTGAGTTATTTTTCTTAAAACAATAAACTTGATTTCTAACTAATGAAATAATATATATTAACAATAAATAAGATGTTTCTCAATAAATCTAATGTCTAAAACATATATATGCTAAAAAAACTAATAATAAACTAAATGTCATAAATCAAATCTATTTATATTTGATAAATTAAAACTCAATAGATGTCGCTCATCATGTCCAAATATTCCAAAAAAGTACATGTAAAATAAAAAAGTGTTAACATTTTTTTGTTATCATTTTTTACATATAAACAAATAGTTCATAAAGACAAAATAGATTAAAATAATTAATAAAGATTTTTTTTACATCTAATTCATAATCTTTTTTTCTCTCTCTCATAACTCAAATCAACTATAAAAATTAAAAAAATTAAAAAATCAACTATCATTTCAAACATAAATTTTTTAATCAAATTAAAATAATTAAAAAATTAACTAAAATAATTTATTTCCAAATAGACTGGGTGTTTTTTGACTTTTTAATATTAGGCAGAAAATTTAGGGGGTGTGGTTTTGGTAAAAGCATCCAGTTGTGCCGGTTGCGTGCCGGTTGCTGACGTGACTGTAAAATAACGTAACGTGTGGCACCAACTCTAGCCTTGCATTACAGCGGATCCCGTCCTTAGTCTTTGCGTCTCTAGAGGTTAAAAGCTGATTTTTTTTTTTTTTGAAAAAATGCGAATAAAATTGATGTGGTGTGATTTAAAAAAAAAAAAAGAAGTCCAAAAATTAATAAATTGGTTTTTAATTTAGGATTGATTTGAAAAGTTCATTAAAAATTAATTTTTTCTTTTTTTTAAAATATTTTTATGTGTAAAAAATATAAAAAAATTAATTAAAAGTTAAAACTAATTTTAACTAACTTCTCAAAATCCTTGTTAATTACCAAAAACGCCAATCAGTCTCTTAACCCACCGTCCGGCCGACTCCTCTCTCCATCGTCGGCCTTACCTCTACCGTGCGTTAAGATCCCGACGAACTCGCTCCCATCTCCCTCGCCGGTCCGATTAACCGGCTTATCCATAATTGTTTTTTGTAATTTTTAAATATAGTTTGAGAGGGGCATTCAGCAGAATAAAAATCAAACAAATCAAACCAGAACCCATAAATAGTCCAGTTAGACAGAAAATAAACAGAGAGGCGGGGACAATTTTCTATATATATATACATATGTCGACAATATCGTATTTACACAAAGAGTAAGAAGACAGAGAATGGGTTGCAAAAACCATTGAATTCACAAATTTCCTTGCTATGTGGCTCTACACCAACATTCACACAGCTATTCCATTTAAACGGATATGAAAAGAAACATTAGAAAAACAGATATGAAACGAAAACAGAGACATGTTCAGAGCAAAAGGAAAAAAAAAAAACAGAGACATGTTCAGAGCAAAAGAAAAAAAAAACAGAGACATGCACACCAAAGTGGCCAGCTTTTATATAATCTTCCAATTTCCTTGCAACTTTCTCAATAAATATATAAATATTTATCCTTGTGAACTGTATATAAGAAAAAAAAAGTAACAAATTTGTTTGGATATTTTTTTTTTTTTCGTTGACAGCTTGATTTGTTTGAGGTGGGAGGGTAAACAGACTTGTTTACAAAATCTCAAATGCTTGAAGAAAAAAAATAAATTATTAAAACAAAAGAAAAAGAGAAATCGAGACTTGCCTTCAATGGCGGACTGCAGACTGTTGGGTTCACTGCTGATGAATGAAGTTGATGAAGTAATGGTTTAAGGGGATATGGATAGATGGGTGGGTTTTTTTTTTTTTTTATATATCAATCTGTTGTAGGATAGTGAGAGAGTGGGGCTGAAAGTGTTTGAGAATATGAGAGATTTGTTTGAGGTGGGAGAGTGACAGATTTGTTTGGATAGTTTTTTTTTTTTTTTTTTTCCCGTTGACAGCTTGATTTGTTTGAGATGGGAGGGTAAACAGATTTGTTTGGATAGCCAGATTTGTTTGGATAGCTTGATTTGTTTGAGGTGGGAGAGTAATAGATTTGTTTGGATAGATTTTTTTTTTTTTTTTTTTTTGTTGACAGTTTTTTATGGATAGGAGTTGTGGGTAGTGGGAGAGTGGGAGTGAAACTCTTTGAGGGTAGGGGAGAAACATATGGTAGGAGAGAAAGATGGAAGGAGAGGAGCTTTTGTTGTTCAGAAAGTCTTTGAGAGGGAGTGAAAAGAGCTATCAACTCAAAAGAGAGGTGCCACGTATTTTCTAGATTTATGAGAAATTTAGAATGACATTTTGAAGCCTTCTAAGACAGCACTACATCCTATATATATAGTATAGATCTTCAAACAAGCCCTATTACTAACTATTAACTGTCGTATATGCATATTTGTCAACAATAAGGATTGCACTTGGGTATGGTTTATACAATTGGTGAGAGAAAAAATGGTCATACAAAATTGATGTCCAAGAGCATTTGTTGGTAAAACTCAATTAAAATATATATTTTTGTATTAAATGAATAGTATATTTTGAATCCATAATAAAATAAGATATTTTATAAGGCCAAGTTTGGGAAGACTAAATAAATGCACTTTTTGTCTTTTTAGACTAAAAAGTTGAGGTTGAAAATATGAATGTTTGGGTTAACTTTTTGACTTTTTATGGAAAAATGTGTAATAAAAAATTGTAAAAATTAGTTTGTAGGAGAAAATTAGAATTGAAAATTGTACAGCCGTAATTGTTGACTTTTGGTGAATAGTGATGACTTTTTAACTTTTTGAGTAACTTTTTAACTTTTTTTAAATTACCCAAACTTAGCCTAAGTACATACAAAGATCTCTATCACCGTCTTGTAAATACTATATTACTAACTAATTGAGTCACTATTGCAGAGAATTAAAAAAGTTATGGTAGTCTCTCTTCTCTTTCACTAAAACAACGTATTCCATCTACAAAAGCAGAAAATAATCTGTTTGTTATTGTGATCTTCAACATCAAATTATTTAACCTCTAAAGATATTTTCTAGAAGAGGATTTGTTAACCACCAGGGTTGGTGGCCTGGTGGAGGAAGCTAGCTGCCCATTCTTCAGCCGAGGAACCAGGGTCGATTTCTGGGAGGGGCATTTGAGATTGCTCCCTGTGAGCAATGCCTTTACTCCCCTCGGTCCCTGGCCTTTGCTGCGGCGTGGGGTTGCCCTTCATTGGTGCCCTGGTGGTGGGTTCCTCACTTGGTGGGGGTTAATTCCTAGCTGGCAACCGGTTATCCCGGGGCTAGGGCCCAACGGGGCTATGATGACACCACAGAGCCCTTTTTTCCCCGATCAAAAAAAAAAAAAAAAAAGAAAAAAAAAAGAAGAGAATTTGTTAACAAAGTAAATATTACATATTCTTATGCATGATTTCATGATTTTTTTGTCTAACATAAAAAATTGTTTTCTTTATCCTTCATTTTTTTTAAGTTCAAATAAAATGTCGAGAATGCGATTAACAATGGAAAAAATATAAAAAAATGGGAATAAAAAATAATAATTATAAATTTATGAAAGTATAATACTCATTTATACAATTTAATGCATAAATTACTTATATTTTAATGAGTTTATAATTTTTTTTTTCAATTTTCTATTTTTTTGATATTTTCCCATTAAGAAATTCTTTAAAAAAAAAAGCGGGCAAATTAACTACATCTCCCTTGAAGTTTAACGAAATTACAGATTCCCCTTGAGGTTTTAAAAATTATATCTCGCCCCATCGCAATTAACATCATTAACGGATATCATAAATTAACTAAAATGCCCTTTTGACAAGTAAGGGCAAATTACTTACACCCCCTAAATTACAGGTTCCTCCATAAAGTTTACCTAAATTATCATTTTTAAATAAGTTATGAAATGTAAAATTAAAATGGAAAAACACTTATCACACTATAAAAAATTAAAAATTTAGAGACCAAAATTTAGGGATAAAATTATTTTTAGGAGACCAAATATTTTTGTTGCGAAAAGTGTCATTATTATATTTTTAGCAACGAAAATTGAACATTAGTAATTAATTATTATCTTTTTGGTATCAATTTTTTTGTCTTAAAAAATAAACCATTTTGAGACCAAATTATTTTGTCCTTAAAAGTCTATTTATTATTGACATTTTCAAAATTTCATCACTAAAAACCTTATTTTTGACTTTTTAGGACGATTTTTTAGCGACTATCCTCGTGATGATAGAAATTAGTCCCTAAATATCTTTTGCAACAAAATTTTCACTTTTAGAGATCAAAAAAATTGTTCTTTAAAACTCTTATATATTGTAGTGTCAGATGGTGAAAATATCATAAAATGAACAAATAATTAAATAAGTTAAAAACACAAGAAATAGCTTATTAAAAAATTCTTAGAATATGTTTGATTTGATTTTTAGAAATTAATTTTTAATTTTTTAAGAAATAAAAAATAAAAAATAAATATTATTTTTATATAATTTTATCTTTTGAGTGGTTAGAAATAATTTTTGCAAATTAAAAATATTTTTTCATATTTATTTTTATTAAATTAGTTTTTATTTTTTTTTTAAATTCTGAAATTTTTTTCTAAATAGCAAATCAAATATGATTTCAAAAACTTAATTTTTTTTTTCTATCTAAATAAGTAATTCATTTGTAAATTTTGTTAATTTATCAAAAGAATTTCAAGAGGGATAATATCCTCCATCAATTTATGTTTTAGTGATTTTAGTTAATCATTCTTAACATTTAGTTAGTGATAAAATTGTTATGCGAATATAAATTTCAGAGAACGGAACGTAACTTCTGAAGTCTTATAAGAAAATTTGTAATTTAGTTAAATTTCAAAGGGAGATGTAGGTAACCCCCCAAAAAAAAAAAAAAAATTGGAGAAATGCCATGCATGAACAACTTGTACATTTGAAGTTGGGAACATAGACATCCCCACACTAGATTCTCTCTCAAGCTTTCCCTCCAATCCAACCCGAAACCCCCTCAAACCAAAATCGCAGTCTCTTCTTCTTCTTCTTCTTCAATTCAAAACCCTAGGCTAAAACCCTAAAAGTCTACATGTTATCTCTTTCACGAATGAAATCACTTGTCTCTCCAACTCTCTCCACCCTTGCCCCTAAAACTAGGCGTTTCTCTCTCTACTCTCAACCCTCTCGATACCTTCTCTGCAATCCCAAACCTCTGCAAAAACCTAATTTCTTCCATGTAAAAACCACCATGCTTCCGCACAATTCTCCAATGATCTCTATCCAAAGTCATTGTTTGAATACGGAGGCGTCTCAGTCGCCTTCCGGCGAAATCCACGTCATCGTCGGCCCGATGTTCGCCGGAAAAACCACCACTCTGCTCCGCCGGATCAAGTCCGAGAGTAGTAATGGCAGGTTTGGAGCTTTTATTTGATAAATTTCTTGTGTTTGGTTGAGTTTCTGGTTCATTGTTGCATATTAAGCTGTTTTGTTGGCAAAAAAGAATCATCTTTTTGAATTTTGTGTGTAAGATTGAGTTTTGGTTTAAATTCACGTGTATTTGTTGCATATTATGCTGTTTTTTAGGATGAAAATGAGTTTTTTCTTCTTTTGGTGCCAAAACTTTGATTCTGGAATTCAATGTTGAAAAGGGGATATTAGAAACCTTTGATAGGTGAGAGTTGTCATGAATTTTATACACCTAATTTTGGATATAGAATGCTTTTTTTTTTTCTTTTTTTTTTTTGGGAATAGAGTGACAATGCTCAAAGTCTGTGTAATCAAATAACTTCACCAGTGAAGTAAACATGGCCCAAATATTCTGCCTTTTTCTCTTTTAGCTTATTTAAGGGTTCTATATGTAGGATAGAGATGTTTTGAGCCGCGTTGGTACCTGGACATTTGGAGTAACATTCCTATGATTGTTATAGTAAAATGAACCACATATGTAATATGTGTATTGAATTCCGTCATTTTGTGGTGTCAAATAACACAATGTATCTTTTTCTTTGGTGTCAAGAAGAACATGATTGGTTCTAGTGGATTAGATGATGATATACAGAACAATCATAAAGGGCTCCCATAAACTCCTAATTTTCAATTTCACTTAATTATTTCTACAATATTTTAAGAGTTATTTGAAGGCATCTAAAAGCCCCAATGTTTTTATTTTGATTTTTGGTCTTTTTGGTTGATCTTTTTAGTATTAGCATTGACAATTTAACAAATTCATTGAGTTTTCAGTCACTATACCAATCATTCATTCAAAGTTTTGCTATCTTCTGAACTATTTTATTTAGCGAACTAAATGTCCCTAGTGTTTCTGTTCCATTGATGGAATGAAATTATCACTGGTGAGATCTTCCAGCTTTCAGGCCAACGTCCTCAAGAACTCCACCCATCTGGATAGGACATTAAGAGGTCTTTGTTTGTCAGGAAGACTGAAAGAAGCAGTTGGGTTACTCTGGCGTGCAGGATTACAGGTGTACCCTGAAACCTATTCTCTTCTTTTACAAGAAAGTATATTCAGGAAACAATATAGATGGGGAAGGAGAATCCATGCACAAATGGTGGTCGTTGGCTTTGTTCCCAATGAATATTTGGTAACCAAATTGTTGATATTGTATGCAAAGGCAGGGGATTTAGTAACTGCTAGCAGTCTGTTCAATGAGTTGCCGAGGACTAGCTTAATTTCATGGAATGCAATAATTTCTGGTCATGTGCAAAATGGTCTTGTAGAAATGGGATTGAGTCTTTATTATAAGATGAGACAGAGTTGTTTGACACCAGATCAGTACACCTTTGCGTCAGTCTTTAGAGCGTGTGCCACTTTAGCAACGTTGCAGCAGGGCAAGCAAGCCCATGGCATCTTCATAAAGAGTCAAATTAGTGGAAACGTTGTAGTTAATAGTGCCCTCATGGATATGTACTTCAAATGTAGCAGTCCTTGTGATGGGCATCTAGTATTCGATGAATCTTTGGATAGGAATGTGATTACATGGACTGCATTAATATCCGGATATGGACATAATGGGAGGGTCGAAGAAGTTTTACAATCCTTTCATAGGATGATAACTGAAGGTTTCAGACCAAACTATGTTACGTTTCTTGCAGTTCTTTCTGCTTGTAGCCATGGAGGTTTGGTACATGAAGGTTGGGAGTATTTCTCATCGATGATGAGAGATTATGGTATTCAACCAAGAGGGAAACATTTTGCAGCAATGGTTGATCTTTTAGGGCGTGCTGGGAGGTTACAAGAAGCATACGATTTTGTTCAAGACTCACCCCATGAAGAACACCCAGTGATATGGGGTGCTTTGCTTGGGGCTTGTCGAATTCATGGAAACATGGACATGGTGAAGCTTGCTGCGAAGAAATTTTTTGAGTTGGAACCAGAGAATTCTGGGAAGTATGTCGTCCTATGTAATGCTTATGCTACATTTGGTTTGTGGGATAGTGTTGCAGTGATGAGGGGGCAGATGAGGGACTTTGGTATGAGAAAGGAACCTGGTTATAGCATGATTGAAGTTCAAAAGGAGGTTCACTTCTTCTTTATGGGGGATAATTCTCACAAACAAACTGAGCAGACACGTGACTTAATTAAAGAAATGACTTGCATTTTAAAGGATGCTGGCTATGTTCCTGACTTGAGCAGTTGGTGGTAAGATAGAGTAGAATTGACTTGGTGGAGCCTAATTAACTTGTAAAAAAATGGCTCAAGTCCTACTTTTTCCTTCTATAAAGAGGCATGGTTTCTTGGGAGATTTTGAAGGTCTAAAAGCCTTGAACCTTGAGGATGGTGGTGTATGACAGTAGATATTATATTTATCATTGCTAGTAAGGTACATTGAGTATTTTGGATATGCCCCACTTATTTACGGGGTTATCATGTTCCAAATTAAGATGATGAGGAATTATTTCCTATGTATGGCATTCTTTTGACATTAAAGTTGGGTAGTTGTGAAGGAGTGTAGAATGCACACTCATCAACTTGGCAGACTCTGTGAACGGCAGTGATGCTGATTGACTGTTGTTTGTTTGTAATAATATAGGTCCTTACTGATGGGAGGATATTCTGACCAGATTTACTATGGGAAGCCTCTAGTTTGGTTGAAAACTTTTCTTCCATAGGTGACTGACTGGTTGATTGGAATCACTGGATAGCCGTAGATTTTTAGCACCCCAAGCCAAGTTCTTATTCCTTTCCCCCCCTCCCCCCCCTCCCCTTCTTTTTTGCCCCTGATATTTCTGATGTAAGAAACAAAGGCGAAAATCATTATCCTATTAGTATTGTTGGGTTGTCAACTCCTTGTTGAGTTTGTGAGTAGAATTCTGGCCATTTAGCTGATGCAATGTTCAGAACACATTACAATGGATGTCATTTTCGCTTATTCAAAGGGTCTTGAGCTGGAGCATCTTCCCCTGGCCCTCAGATCAAGCAGTAAAGTGATAGGGTGAGGTTGGGCTGGATCTTAGGTTTAAATCTTGGCAGCTAAAAGGAAGACCTTATCAGGTCTGAAGCATTGAAGGTGTTTTTTTTTTTTTTTTTTTTTTTTCAGATGAATTACTGCTAAATGATTATAAATAAAATAAAATAAAATAAAAAAGTGATTATGTATTTTATTTTCCTGCTGTTCTAATGCTAAATTTTAGTTACCAAAAGAAAAAAAAAATTATTATGTATATATTGTGTGTGGTATGCATTCTAATATTCCATGAGCAAACTGGAGTATGACTTTGAAAACTTGAATGACATGCTTTTGTTCAACCTTTTTCTGTGGGGAATGCATGTTTAAGCCAATTTTCAACACATTATATTTACAGCATTGGTTTAAAATCAAACAGAATTGGTTTTGAGAACAAGAACTGAGCATTTTATTTATTGGTTTTTACCTATCATTAATTCTCTAGTTCTTTATGAATTTTATGCAGAAGTGTAGCAATAATAAAATCAAACAAGGATACAAGATATGGACTGCATTCCATTGTGACACATGATGGAGATAAATTTCCATGTTGGCCGCTGGCAGATCTGTCTTCTTTTAGACAAGAATTTGGTTCTGATGCTTATGAAAAGGTATTTCAATGCCAATATTGATGATACTCTTTAAGTGTAGCATTTATTAGTTGTTAGAAAAATCTATGTGGAAGTTGATATTTACAATAACATACTGTATAACACTGGTGTGCAAGATGCATATCTGGAGAAACGGCTACAAAGTTCTTACCTTCGAAGTCGTATGTTTAATTTACAATTCCAGTCCTGGCATTTTTTCTGTAAGCCTTCTGTCTCTCATGCATTTGTTTTGTATTGGTATCCATTCCATGGTGACAGCTAGACGTGATTGGTATTGATGAAGCTCAATTCTTTGATGATCTGTATGATTTCTGCCGCAATGCTGCTGACTATGATGGCAAAATTGTTATAGTTGCTGGTCTTGATGGTGACTATTTGAGGTATTCTTAATTTTTCTCTGTTCTCACCTGGTGCATTATGCAATAACTTGTTTTTTTCTCATTAATTTGTACGTACCACATAATTTATTGTACTATTATTTCAGCTTATTTGACGCCAAAAAGTTTATTTTAAAAAGTTTGTTAGGGTTTGCTTCACTGAAAACTGTTTTTAATTGAAAATTTTTACTTGAGTATTCCTCCTCTTTCTTAAATATTATCATCATGTCCCCTATATAAACAACCCACTCCTCTCACTCCCGAACCTTTACAACCAGTAAGGACAAAAAGAATAGTTACACAACAAAATATTTAGACAAATATTACTTTGCAACTTAAATCTATAATTTAATTACTGCATCAAATGTGTTAAAAGCTTCTGTACAAAACTATAACCTATAATATGTTCTGACAACTTCATTAGAACATCCTATCAATTTGCCCCATCATTCGAAAAGAATCTTTTCTCTAGAAATTTTGTCAACTTGTCTTTGATGGTGAACTAAAAACACATTGGCAGGAGGAGGTTTGGTTCAGTTCTTGATATTATCCCACTTGCTGATTCTGTAACTAAGTTGACTGCTCGGTGTGAGATCTGTGGCAAGCGAGCTTTCTTTACCTTGAGGAAGACCGAGGAAATGCAGACAGAATTGATTGGTGGAGCTGATAAATACATGCCTGTGTGTCGGAAGCACTATGTCAGTGGACAGGTCGTTAAAGAGGCTACAAGAATTACCTCTGAATATCAGAAAGTTCAATCTGGCTAGCATCCATAGCTCGTCCTATCTTATTGATATGATGATACCTGGTTGTTCCTAATCTGATTTGGTTTCTTGATGTTAGGTCTCAACACATTGATACTGAATCTTGACTGGTTTCAAGAATTTTATTGATTTTGTCCCCAAAAAGATTGTATATATAAGCTTTTGACTGGTTTCAATGCTTCTATTGCTTTTGTCTATTATAGTTTTTTGTATTGCATTCATGACAGAGCAATGAGTGTGGATGTATGAAAGATTGCCGATCAAAACCCTTTTTCAGTGTTTTAAAAAGGGCGATGTGCTCCAAGGAGGTCGAGGCGATGCGCACAAAAGGCACTGTTCTTTGTTGTGTTCTCTCTCTCTCTCTCTTCTTTTTCTTTGCTGGTTCTTTGTCTCTTTTTCTTTTTTTCTTTCTTTCATTTTTTGGTCCAGTTATTCTTCTTCTTCTTCTTTTCTTCTCTACTCCAACCATTGTTCCCCCTTTCTGTCATTGAGTTCTCTCTATCAGTTACCACGTTTTCATCTTCTTCATTATGCAGCTAACAATTGAATGTTTAGTTCTTTGGTTTTTTTAATTGGTGAAACTTATTTTATGATTTTTAAAATTCTATATATATTTGTTTATGTTGAAAACCCCACCTATATTAAAATTTTGCTCATTGTGTACAACTTGCGCCTCACTTTGGTGGGGCATACGTCTCGCCTCGCACTTAAGCTATAAGAAATCTTATCACCTCGGTATGCCTAGAGCTTTTCAAAACACTGCCCCTTTTTTGTTTTAGTTTTAGTTTCTAGTTTTCAAGCTTTGTTTGATCTACTACGAAGTCAAATTGTCTACCTATTATGGAAAATTTTGATTTACTTCACATTACATGTATTCTCAAAGTTTACCAGTTTGAATGAGTAATAGCAGAGTTCACTTTGTGAAAAATTGCAACTATCTCACTCACCAGCACATCATTTTTAGAGTCTTAACTGAATATTAGAAATTAATTTATGTGAAAAACATTTTTCATAGAAAGTTTTCCACAGGAAAGCGTTTTCTAGCAAAACAAATGGAGATAATCCTCTCACTTGGTAATTGGAACAGGACATGAGTTGGTGATGCTCTAATAATTTCCTGGTTAGTTGATGTTTCCACATGGTTAACTTTTTAAGTCTCAACTTGATCTTGAAAAAATTTCATTTGATACTAGGTTAGTGGTTTGGTGAAATTTATGAAACATGGAACAATCAGAAACTAAAATATTTTTGACATCTTTGATAGGCACTTCCATCTGTGCATTGTTTTGTTAAATGAAAAAAGAAAAAAGGTAAAATTGCTTTCATTGAGAGTTGAACTCAAGACCTCCCACTTACTAAACGGGTGCTCTAACCAACTGAGCTATGAAAGCTTGTTGGTGTAGAAGTCATATAAAAATTATTTTGACTCAAAACAAACGAATAATCAAGTTTTCATAAAGTAGTATAAGTTCAGTTTACTTGCTTTGATCAATATTTTAGGACAAAGTTTTTTGTAGCAATGTATTAAACCTTGAATTTTGTCTTTGGAGGCTCTTTGGTTGGGTTTGGTCGCAATGAAAGAGGTCAAACTAACAAATATTTGCACACGACAATCGTGAAAGTAATCTTTTGATATGTTTTTTTTTTTTTTTTAATTTTCTTATAAATTTCTTATAAAAATTTAATCTCTTTACCAATTAATTTAAATTTCAATTTTCATCATAATTGTCGCTCTAATCAAACAGACCTTAAGGAAAATTTGATGTTGAAACAATGACGCCGTTTTTTTTTTTTTTTTTTTTTTTTTTTTGATTATCAGGAAGAAATTTCATTACTGGTCAAACGGCATTTACACAAGAATCCATCCAACAAAAGGCTTACACCAAGCTAAGAAAAATCAGAACAAACAAGCACAGGTATAAAAACTATAAGAATCTCAAACGCACAACAAGTGCTCGCGCTTGCACTGCAAAGCAGAGGTCGAATAAAATCAACTGTAGAGCGTGTCTAAGATAGGTCATAGATTGTAACCACAGAGTGAGTAAGCCACCTAAAAGCTCTGATGGATTCTATACAAACACACCCAAACAAGAAAACAAAAAACTGGAAAATACACCTCATACTCGGAGGCAACCAGATCTGATTTGTGAACAATGGAGGCAAACAGATCCAAGGCAGATCTGGTTGAGGGAAGGGGAAGATAACGACGGTGAGCAACGGAGTAGAAGACCAAGGCAGATCCGGCACCGGTGGGAGGAGGAGCAACCCAGCAAAGCTTCCACCAAGGGGAAGAGACGCCTCACAAAGAGGGAGAGGTTGGGAATAGAGGACTCCCAAGGTTTATTAAGCAGTAAAGAAGGAAAGAAAAAAGGGGGGGAGAGAGGAGAGGGGTGGCCGGAGCCCCCTTCCCCTCCCAAACGACGCCGGCTGTGAAAAACCCTAAAGAAAGAGCCTAGAGAGAGATGCTCTCGTTTAGAAAGAGAGAGAATTGGTGGTTAAAGGGATTTGGTTGAAGGGATTTGGGAAGAGATTTAAAAAAGAAAAATAAAAAAGTAGGTGAAATGTGAATATTTCACCTAGTTTCATATATCTTTTCCCTTTCTTTTTCAAATCCCTTCTTAAATCTCCCAACCAAACACGGCATTAGTAATATATACAATTTCAGCAATATTTGTGAAGGAAAAAACATGTATCTGATCCAAGACAGAACACAGTCATCATAAAGAATACTAATAATTTACCAACAATACTACGAAAGTACATTAAGAAACAACATGCCTATTCACCCTAAAGAAACGAAAACCAAAATAGTTAAAACATAAACAAAGAATAATGACAAGAGATTCTTCATCAAGATTGGTTTGGTCAGCGATCAAAACTTGCTTTTCGAACTGGTCTGTTCTCTAATCAGCCTAGCCACATTTGTTCCAGCTTTAGTTTTCTCAAGATTTGGCAAATGTTGTTGGAGGTTCTTTACAAGAAATTCATGAAGCTCGCTAAAACTCTCCTGCAGAAGAGAAAGCGAAGTTTGTAAGAAATAAACGATCTTTAGGGTAAAGTTCAGGCCATGGTTCTTGCTATAAAGAGGAGAATTTATAGGATCAAATTTTGATTGGCATCATTGTCTAACTAGGTTAACAACGCTAATAGTCTCAAGCACATTGTTGTACTCATTATTATTACCAACGACATAAAGTAAAAAAACAAATAGAATTACCCTTTTTGAGATCTTTAAAGCTGTTTGGATCACATAGTTTCCAAATTGATCTCTAGCAATTTTCTCAAGCATGCCTTTTTCCTTTTTGATGTCTTCAACCAAATAAACTATCGCCAAAGGAGAAAACTGTAAGCATTTCTCCACAACATGGCTACCATGTTTTATTAGCGAAAGCCTTGCATATCTGCCTCTGAGACGGAAACAAATCTTATCATTGAGCTCTGAGTTGTCAAGTCCCAAGATATGCTGCACAACATAGTTCCTAAAGAAAGACAATACGCAAACCCCAATGAGTTCTGCTGAAAATACAATTCATGAAAATCGAGTTATATTTTTTTGTCAATTATGGGATGGTAAATCAGATTAGTACCCTGAAGGATCAAACGAAAGGCAAACTGATTCAAGCGAGATACGATCTAGAAGAAGACGTCGTTGTTGTCCTGTTATGCTGTTAATGCACTCATTTAGGGATATACATCCTACTGGATCCATAGCCAATTCAACACAACGCTCTATCACGGCTTCAAATAGTACCTTAGATCGAATGAGTCAATTGCATTAATTGTCATGGACTCATATTAGCAAACTGCATATAGTGGAAAATAAGCAAGCATAAATTGATCAATATGTCACACATATGCAGAAGTACAATTGAGTTTTTCATATTAATCCTTTTTCTAGTAAGACATTAGGGTGGGTAGATGCTGCTCTGAGACTCACAGTATAATGTGCAAAAGTACAAACACGCACACATGCATGTTTTTAAGTAGTCAGAAAATATGCAATAATCTTAATAGTCATATTAGTATGTGATACACATAATGCAAAATATGTATAAGCTTTCAATGGAGCTAAAATGAAAATTCAAAGGGGGGAAAAAAAGATTAGTGAAGAGAAGGAAAGAAAATTACCTCATTTGTCTGACTATCCAAGAGGATGAAACACTGTTGAATTACATGCCTGCCTATGCTACGAGTCATCAGTTCAAAGGATCTGGTGGATAGAGCCGATGTCACTTGCTTGGCCAAATCTAACTTCTTGACCTGTTTGATAAGCTTCTGAATTGATTGCGACCTATCAAAACAAGCAATGTTGTGAGTCCATCTCACTAATAAGCATAACAATTTAGTGTTACAATAAATGTGGTTCAATTCAAGATTCCAAAACTCACCCGTTTCTAGTAAATGCCGCTTCAATGAGTAATGCGTTCTGCAAAGTTATTTTCAAGACAACCAGCTGCAACTGAGAGTAGTCACACTTTTCAATGAGCCTCTGAAATACGTAACGCCCATATTCATCGGTCAACAGCTCAAATAGAAACTCAAAAACCCCATTAAGTATGGTATTATTAATCACAGGATTCCCTTTCTGCAAAAGACTCTGCAAGAACTTGGAGCCATTTTCACACCTAGCCAGCATACTCACATCGCTTCTTTGCAGGAAAAACTCACAGATCAGATCATCACAATACCCACCTTGCTGATTCAACAAACCAATAGAACTTGCCATTCCATTGGACAAACGGCACCCATTACCCGAATAATAGCCATTGCTTCCAGTTGTGTTGAATTCATTATAATTAACCAAAGAACCAACTGGGTAGTCCAATTCCGGGTCATAATTCAATCCACAATCTCCCATTCCTGGATAGGGACTGGCAAGATCACTCAGGCCAGATGGTCTCTCATAACAAGAATTTCTATTTGCTGCTTGTCCAGAGAAATTTCCAGGAAAATTATTTAGTTCATAATCTAAATCATAATGATTCAGGTAATTCAATGGGCCCATAGAACTTTCTGAACCAGAATACATATCTGAAACCAGAGCATCTCCTACAAAATTAACCAACAAAGAAAACTCATTCGCTCGGACATATGTACAAACATGATATATACACACACAAACACAACATACATGGATAATGTAAAATTTACCTCCATTGATGGAACTATGATTTTCCCAGATATTTTCTTGAGAAATTGATAGTGTTGATGATGGTTTCTTGAATTGGGGATGATTAGTATCATCTTCTTTTGAGGTTGGAGAAGAAGAAGAAGCTATGCCATTGTTGCTCTGTGAATCGCTTTCTTGACAAATTGTGATGAACCCATCTTCTTCTTTCAACCCAAGACTATGAAAAGAGTGAGAAAGATCAACACAATCATCAGAACAAGAAGAACCAATGAGCCTTTGAGAAGTTGAACCCCCCATTGAAACTTAAAACCCAGAACAGAACAACAAGAACAAGAAGCGAACAAGACAGAATATAATGATTAATCGCTTTGTTTTTCTTCTTCTACCAATGTATGTATGTATGAATGTGTGTGTGGGCATACGAAATTGGGCATACGAATATATATAACTATATATATATACACAGGGCAAACTATATAACTGTGTATATATAGTTTCAGAGTAAGTTTGAGTCCAACTCGTACAAGGAAAGCAAACCTGGTTGTTTTTGGAAACAGGGCATACGAATTGGAGGGGTTTTGTGAAAATTAATAATAATAACTCAGTTTGTTTAAAATACAGATTGTATTTTATGATTTGAAATTTTTTTATTTATCAGAATTAGTTAAAAGATTAAATTTTTTTACTGCACTCCTATGCAATGACAAAATTACTTGACTTATTAATTTAAATAAATTTATGACATTATTACAAATTGTTAAGGGCAAATTACATATACACCCCTCGAGATTTGGCTAAATTACAGATACCCCTTGAGGTTTCGGAAATTACATTCCGCCCCCTGAGGTTTGTATTTTCATAACAATTTGCCCCCTGAGGTTTATATTTCATAACAAATTACCCCCTATTATCTTTGAGAGATATACTGACTTGATCGTCGGAGTGCCCCCGGGTGGTCGAAACCACCGCGGGATGCTTATATTTCTGTTGCAGGTCAGTCAGGTGCCATCTATTTTGCCAGTGCTCTCCAGCTGGTTACTAAGCGGGCAGTGTGGTCGGAAAATCACCCACACAAATATTTTCTGTATACCAACACGTGGCACGGTGATGCCGACGTGTCAGCCGAGGTGCCACGTGCCCTGGTAGTTAAGCCGAGGTAATCTCGGAGAAGCCGAGGTCATCTCCGAAGATATCGGAATCCGAGATATGGGGCAAGAGTCCTAAGGCACAAAGAGGATTGAACCAAGATAAGGATAAAACTCTCAAGGAGTTTATTTATATCATTTAAAAGAGTCCAAACTATTCTTTTCATTCATAATTTTATATCTAAATATTTGATTTTTGTTCAAAAATTTATATCCGAACTATATAAATGGTATGCATTGAAATTTTATATGGTGTGTAAATAGTATTACCTTTAAAAAAATACTACTATAAAAGGATGCTAATATTTTTAAGAGGAAATTACGGAATATCAAAATAAATGTTGACTTTTTAATTTTATTAATTTAAATTCAAATCTTTTCATTTGTTTTCAATTTAAACCATTTAATTATTTTCATTAACTAAAATTAACAAGAATTTTTTTTTAATCATTAAATTCAATATTAAAAAAGAAGAAGATATTTTAAACATTTTATATATACATACATTGCGTTTAATTATTAAATTACATTTTTTCCGTCAATTTTACTTAACAGAAATAGATAAATTGCTTAAATTGAAAACAAATAATAAAAAAGGAAGACTAACGTGTATATCCTAATAGGTGAAATTATTGTCCAATAAGTCTTATGATAGTTAATGGAATTTTTCATCAAACACTATTAAAAAAGGTCACTAATTATTAATTTTCTGCGATAGTTTGAAAATTTTGTCACAAAAAATGTCATTAATTATAAGTTTTAACGATAGTTTAAAAAAATTGTCACAAAAAAAAAAATTAATTTTCAACTTTCAGCGATAATTTTAAAAAATTGTCACAGAAAAACACCACTAATTATAAGTTTTAGAGAGAATTTATAAAAACCGTGATAAAAAGTTATTAATTGTCAATTTTTAACAACATTTGCAAAACGATCATCATAAAAAATTATTTTTAGCGACGATTTTACTAAAACTTATTTTCAATAGAATTTGATGAAAATTAAGTCTAACTATTTAGTTTCTACGTTGCTCATTTTATTTAGTTTTTTTTTTTCTTTGAAAAAATAATTTATGTGCTTTTGACATTTAGGCCAAGTTTGGCAAGTTGAAAAAAAGTCAAAAAGTTACTCAAAAAGTTAAAAAGTTATCACTATTTACCAAAAGTCAAAAATTACGACTGCGCAACTCCCCATCCTAATTTTCCCCTACACACTAATTTATACAAAATTTTAATATACATTTTTTTATAAAAAATCAAAAAATTAACCCAAACAATCATATTTTTTTCCTCTTTAACTTTTTAGTTCAAAAAGTCCAAAAGTACAGACATCCCAACAACTCCTTAATACAATAGAAAAGAGAAGCCAACGAAAATGTTTTGCATTTTAGACAGAATTTTTTTTTTTCAATTTTGAAAAGTAAAAATTGTTTTCCATACTACTACCAATCAAACCATAGCCACAACCACTACTCTACCCCTATCACATCCACCAAGGATCCTCTAGAGTGAAATTTCTCTAAAGTTTCCTAGAGTGTTATATTGTGTGGTTGAAATTTACTGGCAAGTCACATCAGAAAAATTGATGTGACTTGCCAGTAAATCTCAACCACACAATGTAGCACTTTAGGAAACTTTAGGGAAAAATCACTCTAGAGGATCCTTGCTCTATCACATCCACCACTGCCAAACACGCTATCACTCTACTATCACCACCCCTATTCCCCTCCCCCGGTTACTACCGTCATCCCATCGCCGCCATTGTCTAACAATCACTACCCGCTTGCACATTAGTTTCTAATAAGATTGTAAGTTACATACAAAAAATATTATCTTGAAAAAGACAAAATTCATAATAATATTTTTTTGCCAAACAAATGAAATCTAATCCCCAACCAGGCAAATTGTAATTTCAAGAACCGAACACCCCATCATTGTAGTTGGGATTTATAACAAAATTTATCAATCCAATTTGTCTTCAAATCCAGATAGAACTTAAAGATGTAACAAATCCATAACAATCCACAGCTCACAAAATTCATTGCTAGGCAAACATGTACAACAACACATTCTTAAGGTTGAAGCCTAAGCTCTCTACCAAGCACAAGGTTTACTACAAGAAGAGAGCTATTCTAGGCTGTAACAGTACAAACAGCAGTATTATCACACTAGCCCAAAAAAAAAAAAAAAAAAAAAAAATTAAAAGTACCGACAATGTGACAAAATTTACACAATTTCGAGAATGCCCAAGTGCGAGGAATATCACATGTGAAATTCTACTAAGCTCCTAACAAAACTGCAGAATTTAAGCAGCAATCGTAATAGGTTTTTAGTTTTCACCTCCATGCGGATGAGGTTGCCAAAACCCTGTTCTTCCAGAAAAGTTGAACAGCCCCATCCCTCTCTTCAATTCTGTAATTCTTGCTATAGTCTTTCAAAACATCGATAACCGCAATGCTCACCGAGGAACTCAATGGGCATGGTGTAAAACCAGCCATCATAAGTCTTGCCTTCCACTTCCCAAAAAGTTCGTGCCTTTCCACTCTGTCAGCCCCCTCGCACGCTACAATGTTGACAATATCCCGAGCCACACAGTGCTCCTCCGCACTGATCCGCTGCTTGTCATCCCTTGGGCGAGCAGCGTCAATTGACTCAAACATAGCTGAATAATAGTCCATGGTCTCTTGGAACCTTGGAAAGAACGAGGTAGTGTTGGTATTTGATTCTTGCTCAACAAGGACCACAACCTTCGGTGACAATCTCTTAACCAGCCTTAACAACCGGTCTCTATGATTTCTAGTGCTAACACTCTCATCCGGCATGTGGTGCAACATGTAAGGAAAATTCACGGCCAACGCTTCTCCGTATCGAACTCCGAGATTTTCAAGTTCAACCTCGCATCCGGACATAGCAGCGCCGTGAAATTCAAATGGTACTCCACACGATGCAGCAAATTTTGAGAGCCTTTGGCCCACAAGTTCAAGTCCTGCACCTCGAGCATGAGCTGACTGGGAATCATCAACACCTGTGATGCGGATATATGGGGGCCCACCTGGCCGCTTCGCAAGAACCTCCATGAGGGACACCCACTGGCTGCCCTGTGCAATCTGAAAATCAATTATGTGGATTACGCGTTCATTTTCCATGGCGTCCCAGATAGAAACATTGGCTGAATTGTAGGCAAATTTGTAGTAAGGGCAGATTTGATAGAGGATGTGCATGTACGACATTAGCTCTTTGCTAGTCGGTTCTTTACACTTCAGACTTTTGTAGATTAAACTCCCCGAGGATAACAACCTTGCTCGAAGCCCTTCCAACATGTACGCTCCCAACCGTTGGATTGGTTCCCCAGAGACTGAAACCATCGGTTCTAAAACATCCATCAGTCGAGTCGCGGTTGATAGATCTTCATCTGATACTGCTGCAGCACAAGCATTAAGCACTTGCTTCAAGTCTAAGCTTGGGATCATTTCCATCATTTGATTCGAATTTGTTGAGGAATATGCTTCGTGGGCCGCCCCATTGAAGGAGCAACTGCAGCTGTCATCAATATCAGATTCAGGCCCAAGCAATTGTGTCTCCAAAACGCTCAGTATTTGCCTCAATTCATTACCATCATCAACAATGGAAGACCCGCTAAACGGGGATCCATAAGCATTGTCAGACGAATGATGCGGGTCCGACAGGTATGACTGAGAACCAAGTGGCGAAATGGGAGTCCTGTTAGATGAGAAGCTCATAGCAGAAGGGGAATCATAAACTACATAACCAGATGCTGGAGAAGATTCCAGAGTAAAGTGTGGTTCATTGCAAGATTGGAAGGAAACTTGGGTTGCTTGCTTGTCATTATCAGAACACAAATTGTTGTGCAAAATTTGGAAAGAAGGGAAGCAGTATGGTTCGACTTGCTGCATAGTCTGGTGGTAAAACCCATGAAAACCGCTAGAACTTTGATGTTCCTGCGATGTTTGCATCGAACTATTGATTGATTTAGCTGGGGAATGTAGTGACGTATGCTAAATCACACATTTGTTCATAGTTCACGAGTTATCGCTTTGGAATCTTCATGAAACGAGAGGTAACCTTGTCTCTAATGAATATAGAAGCTCAATCAACACAAATTGCTCTTGCTATAGAACCAAGATTCTCTGAAAAAAAAATAAAACATGATCAATGCTATTGGAAAATAGTCAAGAGAGTCACTATTACACTTCATCAACTTAACATGACTTGCCACAAATCGTGCAAGGAAATGCAATGATTTCAAATCTATTGCAGCAAAGTATGAATTACAATCAGTGGCAGTGAATCTTAAGGCTATTAAGAATCAAATACGGAATAAATAAATGAGAAATTCATACAAAGCATGCACATATTTACGTGGCTCCTCTTAAACCCTATGTCCATGAGTGAAGATGACTGGGAAAAAACTAGTATGAACAAGATGGTACATGAAGACTGCTCTATCTCACAAACCCTAACCCCTTCACAAAATGAGTCCTCTCTCATGACAAGGCAAAATAAAACTCTTAAAGGCCCCTTGGGTTGGGACAGAGACTTGGAGACACAATCCAACAAGTAAAAACATGACAGTATAATTCTTAGTGATCTTACCATTGCCATGATTTTGATTGCAGTTAGGGACTTAACAGCCAACTTCAACTAACAAAATGTAAATTTACATGGTGCCTAATCCCTTTGTTGTTTTCTGATTAAGATATATTTACTTGGGGAATGCCCAAATACAGAATCAGAAATAGAAATTCCAACATAAATTAACCTAGATGGAGAAAGTCAAACCTGTAAACTCCCAATGAGATTCGGGGTTTTTTGCCAAACGGCCTAGCCCTATTGGTTTCAAAAAGCAGTCCCCTTACTAGGTCCTAATAAGAAATCGCACCATGCTGGACAAACATGTGCCATTGGGGCAAGAAAGTTGGACCCTCCCGAGTGCACAAAAATAGCACAGTTGCACTTCTTCAAATCAGAAAATGAGATCCAAAACTCAAATAAAATCTTGTCTCCCAATTTAAGTAATTTATTATAGCATAGAAATGTAGACATAGAAATTCACAGGTCGGGCGCTAATACTAATTTGTTCCAAATTAAAAAAGAAATAAAAGTATTATCACAAATTAAACATAATTACCCTTAAATCTAAAGGACAGAAAGTGAGGGGAAATGTTTCTTTCAATAGAAGACCATGACAGATGCAGACAGTATGAATTTTGGCTTGAAAGAATGAATTAATTACCCAAGTACGACATATCTAGGATAACAATCATAGTATTAGAGCATTAATACCATAATTAACCAACCTTTCTTAAATAAAATTCCAAAAAGAGTTGGACTTTAATATTAACAAACATCAACAACACACTTTAATTGAAACGCTAAAAAAGAGGATGTGTAAGAATTTCACCATCATTCAAAGTTCCAAAAACAGGAGTTGGTAAAAAGTTTAAAAAGCAAAAGGATTAGTGAAAGGCCAAAAAGATGAGAATTTCTCTTACAAATACCAAATTTCCAAAAAATAAAAAAATCAAATATACAAAAAAATCCCAACCTTCCAGAAACCTAAATCCAACGCATCTTCCCAGATCATAAACTTATCTAAAATACCATGAAATCAAACCTGAACTTAATTAAAATAAAAATAAATAGAAAAAACAACAACAACAACAACAACAACTATCAGCTGAATTAAGAGCTAAAGAAAACAGATTGAAGACCCAGAAGCAAGAACAACCCATTTCACCAAAAACAAAAACTAAAACAAGAATCAATCAAAATGAAATCAAAGAGCATCCAGAGTTTCGAAATCAAATCAGTGAGATTCAAATACCTTAAAGGTGAGAGCTTTGCTTCAATGATTCGAATACCTCAGGTGTTTGTCTGGAGATGGAGAGAACTCTTCAGAGGAATTCTTCAGACTTTCAGTTTGGTAAGTGCAGTCTATCGGAGTTGGTGTTGGTTTTTTATAGTGACGACTACGTAACAAATGCCCTCAGTTTTGTATATTACTACATAAATGCCACTGTGGAGAAACCATAATTCCATTTGGTAAAATATTAAAGACTGACTTTTATTTTAACCATAAAAAAAAGAAAAAAAAGAAGACTTCACTTTTTAATTCTTGGAGGAAAAATGTATTTAAAATATTTGGTAATCAAATAAAAACTTATTTTTTAATAGTTTTTTAAGCAAACATACTTTGGCCTAGTTTGGGAAGACTAAATAAATGTACTTTTTGACTTTTTATAAAATATGGGTTGAGTTTGGGTTGTGTTTGAAGTGATGTGTTAAAGAGGTGATGTGACTTAAATAAGATGATATGACTTAAATAGGATAGTGACTTTTTGATTTTTTGTCTTTTTTCAAGCATGCCAAACTTGGCCTTTGACAACATGCCTAGCCCTTTTTTTAGGGGCTATAAATCACTCCATATTTGGTTGAGTTTTTTGATTTTGGTTTTTTTTTTTAATTTAAAAAGTATTTCAATGGAAGAATTAAAAATAAAAATGCGTTTATTTTTATATGATTCTCTATTTTTGGTGGGTGAAATTATTATTTTTAAAATTCAAATATATATTGTGGGATGTTTTTGAAAGATGGTTAAAAGTTATTTTTTTTGATTTTTTTTTGACTTTTTTGTGATAGAGTTTTAACTCACTTCTCAAAATAAGCCTGTGTTTGTTATTGTCAAACTACTTTATTATGTTTCAAAAATAAATTCTAAAAAATTCAACTAAGTTGAAATAAAAACAATAACGACATTACTAACGATGGTATTACATGGACCAATTAATGTACTAATTAATGTTCCAACTAGTGTTAAACCATTATTATTGACTCTACTTATTATACAAATTATAAATACCTAAAATCTCTAAAATTATGTCACACCATCTATTAATATATTAGTTAATACACTCATTGATACATATAGTATTATTTAATTCTAAACATATAGACTTGTTTGTGTAAAATTTCATACATAGATATGGGTCATCTATGTCTATTCATTTATTTGTATTCATTGAAAATAAAAATGCTAACAACTATGGCCACAACAAATGCTTAAAAAAATGAATTTTAAAAAATAATAATATACAAACATAGTTTATATATAAAAATTTAATATATAATGATGTGATCAATTTATATTATTTTTTAAAATCAAAATACTAACCATTATAGTCGCAATTGCTAAAAGAACCGCGGCCCACATCTTTTTCACAAAACCCTATACATATATTTTTAGATAAATTACACTTTACACTTTTATATTTTGTATCAAATCTCACTTTAATCCTTACATATAAAATCGTGATAATCAACTTCTTGTATTTTTTGTCAAATTCCACTTTGATCCCTACACAAAAAATCATGATAGTCAACTTCCTGTATTTTTTTGTCAAATCTCACTTTGTTCCTCACACATAAAATCCTGATAGTCAACCCCCTATACTTCTAGTCAAGTGTTAATTTTTCCCTTCTTTTACTTTATTATTTAAGTTTTTAACAGAATCCAATCATGTAACAAACATGAAATTACGAAATGAGGGGAAGAAAAGAAAATCATTATTGAGAGGGAGATTCCTAACCTAATACGGCCGAGCTCAGTGGGCCGACCTAAACAGAACCGAGGTAGGTTTTGTCTGGTCAAACATTGGGTGAGCGTTGGACCAAATGCTCAGTCCGGTCAAGTTAGAATAACTTTGGACCTCCAGCCCGACGAAGTTGTGCGCACTACTGAGTTGGACAGATTTAGTCCGAAGATCAGACCGATTGAGTAGAAGCTCGGTCGAGCCCACAGTCAAAATCCGTCAAGGCGACCGGGGAAGTATCACGGCAGTAAGGTGATGACGCAGCACCGCCCAAGTGTAGCTTGGTAGAAGAGCATTGCGCGGCGCCGCGAGCTGGTACGGATGAGATCTTACTGTCCGTACATGCCAACTGCTTGATGGTTTCGTTAGGTGGTGTCTAGTTATATTGGCATTGACACGTGGGAAATGTGAGAGGGGAGCAGGTCCAGGCGTCCCAAGATGAGTGGGCACGAGAGGGTGTGCAGAAACTATATAAACGGGGCGACGTCTCCATACACAGGTCTGGACATTTTTCATGATCACATCTCACCTACCACCTTCTCTCTCTCTGAGTGTGTGCTAACTTGACCGTTGAAGGAGTTTTTCGACAACACACCGCCGGGTAGCTCACCTTCGTTGTGTTCGCAGGACAATCGAAGGAAGGCGCAGCTTGGACGCGAGGAGTACGGGTGGTGTCAAATATTTGTCCTCCGTACAATTCTCATTTTCCATAAATAAATACTTTGTCTCACGTGATAAGTTTGTGAGAGTTATATAATACAATGTGTGTGTGTGTTTATATGTTGAAAATTAGGACGAAGAGGTAAGAAAATAGAACTTTTGAAATGAATATATAAAAAAAAATGCAGCAGAGAAATTGAAGAATCTGTTATTGTAGAAAATAAAGTTTCATTATTCTAATTTTTGCAAAACCCTCTCCTTAATTGTTCATAATTTGCGTTTTATTTTAGCTAAATACAATCAAAATTTGATGTAAATTTTAAGATGAAATGTGTATAGACGAAATATTTGGGTGATTTTCCTCTTTTATCCTTATTTTATAGTTATATGCATGTCACATTACTGACTTTTGTTAAAGACTTATATGATCGAATAACAAAAGGGAGATATCGGCACTTGATTAGAAGTATAGAGAGTTGATTGTCACAATTTCATAAGTATAGAAAGTTAACTGTTACGATTTTATATGTAAGGACCAAAGTAGAATTTAACCAGAAGTGTAAGAGGTTGACTATTACAATTTCATGTGTAGGAATCTCATGTATAGAAATCAAAGTGAAATTTTGTGCAAAGTACATGAGTGCGAAGTGTAATTTACCCTATATTTTATTTTATTTTTTGTACAAGAGAAAGAACTACAAAGTAGGGATGTCTCATAAAAACAATCTAGCATCATTGTAGAGGGACAAAATATTGAGAGAGGAATTTATAGAATCATCACCTCTCTATCCGTCATAACACCAATACTTGCCAATAGATGTGTACATAAATTTCCTTCCGTCAAGTGTAGATAATATAAGAGTCGTATCTAGTAAGGAGAAAGTGACAGTCTTCAATCTCTATGAGAGTGGTCATTTTAATATTATTGCTGAGCTCAACAACAATAGTAGAGTTACGGATTGAGATCCTCTCTATTCTAAAATTTTAATGAAAGATTTTCATTATAGTATTTAAGGATTTGTAATGATTTTTTCCAAATTTATCCTACTATGGTTATTGAGAATCTACTTGTATCACAAAAATGAAAGATGAAAGAATAAAGATTAGAATATATTTAGAATGGGTTAGGTTTCTTTCATGTTGAGATCTTAACTTAACAGAGCTTAAAGGGCCTGTATGGCTTACTACGGGTCTCATTTTGATAATCTGAAGTGTTTATTTTGTAGAGCCTTCAATATATATCATCTATGAAAAAATTTAGTTCAATTCGATAATTGTAACATTTTCATTTTATAATGATCTATTTCAAAAATATATATGTCGTCTATTTTTCGAATACAAATGATGAAGTTGCTATTATTGGATTGAACTAATTTTTTTTCATGAATAATATACATTAAGAGCCTTACAAATGAATGGTTCGGATCATGGAATCCATAGTGGGCCCTATAGGCTCTTAAGGTCTTTCATGTTGAGATTTAATATGAGAGAAAGCTAACTCATTTAGAATCATGGAAGATGTAATGAGATAAAATAAATATTTTGAATTTTGAAAGAGGATTGAATTAGAAAACGAATGTAAAGGCAATCAAAGTATTATATAAATAAAAGTTCTCATTTATTTGTAGCTTGATCTTAATAGAAACCCCAGGTGATTGGAGATTACGTGATATGTACATTATAGGCCATATGCATTCGTCGGTGTTTGAAATTTGACAGAGTAGAATATTGTTAGACATGTCAATTGAAACTACCCAAGCTTCTATTTGAAACTTTCTATTATTTGACTTATTTTTGGCTATTTTCAAAATGATTACAAGTATTGATAGATTAGAATAGGGGTCTTGCTCTCTTACACGAACAGCTCACTAGTATTATTTTCTGCATGTATTTATCACGTTTTTGTTGTGTTCATAAAAAAACAATCATATACATTTTTTATTTTTATAATCTAATGTTACATTGAATTGTTCATATCATGTAAAATTCTTGTGGATTTCTTTTCCCATACCAAGACTTTACTATTAAATTTGTATAATATTTTTTGTTAAAAAAATAAAAAAATGAATTGCACTTTAGCTCTCCTAATTATTTATCAAATATTAATATTTTGGGTATATTACAAATGCTCCCCTGAGATTTGATTAAAATACAAGTCGCCCTTAAGGTTTTGAAAATTACATTCCACCTCCTGAAATTTTTAATTTCATAACAAATCACCAATTTTATTAATAAATCATTAAGTCAATTAACAGTTTTTAATGATGTTAAAAATATGTTTCAATTATGTTAAAAATATGTTTCAATTAATAATTTAGATAATTTTATTATTGTATAGGAGAGCAATTATGAATTTCATTTTTTTAGTTAATTGTATTAAATAAAAAATTCTAATAAGGAGATATTTGTAATTTATCTTTTTTTCTCTCTAATAGTACAATTAGGGTATGTTTGATTAGTAGGATTATAACATAAAATTGAAATTGTTAATTTATTGACTCACAATTCATATTTGATTACAAATTTTATTAACCAGATTATATCTACAGTGAACATTCAATCAGAAAAAATTTGAGAATTTATAATATTGAGAGGGTTACATATCATAATTTCAAGTATAAAAGAAAAAATAAAATGAATACATAATAAATGGTTATCTCACTAATTTAATTAAATAACTAATCCTATACTAATTCATACAATTATTAATCTTTTCATTATTAATCATG